CTTTTCCAACAAGCGGGCCTGGCCTAGGGAGGATTTTAAATTGGGTTTCTTAGTAATTTTAATTACAACTTTAAAATATTGGTTTTAATTTGGTTTTATTCGGTGGGGTGTGTGGGTTTGTTTTTGTTTTTTAAGAATGTTGTGAGCCGCCCTGAGTCCTTCGGGAGAAGGGCGGGATACAAATTGAATAAAATGAAAAATAAAATGAAAATATTGATTTGATTGTGTTGAATTTGGGGTGAAAAGCATAGCAACAACTGTCACTGACAATCCAGAATGATCCTTTTCAGCTGTTACAAGTGAACAGGCTGAGTATTGTGATTAATATGACTCAGAATATGACTCCTCATGCAGTGATAGGAAATGAAGGTTAGAAAAATATTTATAAAGTTCAAGATATAGCAGAGAAGAAAATATGGCTCAAGAAACAGAGAATACAACTTTTTCCTAGATTGTCCGATCTGAAACTGATGGTGTAGAATTTTTCACTTGTCTATCATTTGCCTGAACAGAGAAAGCAAGAAATATATAGTCCGGAGCTACTTTTATATCATGCCAATTTTCTATGTAAGAGTTTTGCTTTAAATCTATTTGGTGATGTTTCTCTTGCAGTTGTAAATGCCTCAGGCCTGTTACATCTAAACCCTTAAATTTTGCTGATTCCTCAAGCTGAACTCATTGGCTGGATTTGTACAAGTGCTAAAGTAAAAGATTGTTTTGGGCTTCACTGTGGTCTAGAATGTGGGTCAATTTTTAATCTGAATGTGTTATATGAATCCAACTCATTGGATTAAATAACCCAGCACATGGGTTATTCTAGTGACTGGAAATGTGTCAGCTTTGGACCAGAGATGGTCAAAATTTAAGTCAAGATGGCAGACTCAGCTGCATGTTTGTAGCCCCACGCATTTCATATGCAGCTCTCTATTGCCATCGGACTTTTAAAAGATTCTTAGGGTTTACATATTGGATTTTTGTGCAGTCCATAGTGCATAACATTTTCATAGAGGTGAATAAAACTGTTCAGTAGAGCTTATACCCAATTTAAATTGGCAAAAAAATTGGAATCTATAAAAACATCTTTTGGGGGGGGGGGTGTTGATGCCTGGTGCTTATCTGAACTAATCCCTGAAGTTTTCTTGTCAAGATTTTCATTTCATTTTGCCATTGTTAACTGAAGCCTGAGAGAAAGTGACTGAGCCAAAGGAACCCAGTTGGTTTTTGTGCTTACCTGTTTTTCAGCCTGGTTCCTTAACCGCTACATGAAACTAGGTCTTAAAAATACATTATAAATTACTAATAAACTTGTGGGGAAATGCGTTTCATTGAAGAAAAGCAACTAAACAAACAACAATGATGTATAAAACTAGTTTAACGTTAGAACTGGGGTCCCTGTATACCCCTGATTTTGCATAATTACCACATACATGAAAATGAATTTGTTGAGAACAAAGTACAGCATTAATATCTAATTTTGCAATAGAACTGCAAAATTCTGCAGAATCGAGAGGAATGTCTTTAAAATTAGCTTACGTATTATGCCTCTATGATAGGATAATATTTTATAATTTATAATGTGGATTAGGTTTTAAATAATTTATAGGTAGTTCTCAACTTGCGACCATTAGTTTAGCCACTGTTTGAAGTTACAATAGTGCTGAATTTTTTTTGACTATGACTGGTTTTCGGATTTAGGTCTCTTGCAGTATCCCTGTGGTCGCATGATCAAAATTCAGGTCCTTGGCACTTTCACCATGTATTGACCATAGTTGCAGTGTCCTCGGTAATCTGATCACCATTTGTGAACTTCCCAGCCAACTTCTGACTGGGAAGTCAACGGGGGAAAGCTGGATTTGTTTAGCAACTGCAAGATTTGCTTAATGACCACAGTAAAAAATTGAAATTGAGTGTGACTTACTTAATGACTGCATTGCTTAGCGAAAAAGTTCCAGTCCCAACTATGGTCTTAAGTCCAGGATTCCCTATATTTATTTGAAAAAAAAATGTATATCCCACCTTCTCTTTTCATATAAGAAGTAGACTCTTCTGGAGTTACATATGCAGATTTAGGAAAAATGGACAACCAATCTATTTAGTATAATCATATTTTTAGGAAATGTTTTCATATGTGATTTCTTTGAAGTGATATCCCTTGATATTTAGTGGAGAAAGGAGCATAGAATTTCAATCTTCCCTCGGTGGAAGGTCATTGGGAGGCTAAATTCTGGAGCACAACAAGAAAATCTGTGCCACTGAGAGAGGGGAAAAAAAGGGCCAAAGTACAGATATAACTGCTTGTTTACTCAGCATTTTATGCTAGCTTAGTTTAACAACCAGTTATATTTTGATGAGGAAGCAGGTAAGTGTACAAGTAATGAACTTTAGCATCTTCAGTGGCAGAGTTTTGCTAACAACTGTATTATTAAAGACTATCCAGATTAGAAGCATTCTTTTGCAATGTACTGGAAATCTTACAGTCTAAGATAAAGCTCTTAATAGATCTTGGCCTTGTACCTTTTAATGTTCTGCGTGTAGAAATAATGCATCTGAGGCTACTCTTTGCCTTTTTTGTGTTGCTATGTGCCTGTATTTTATTCATCAGACGGCTTGCAAATTTCTATGCACAGTTCTGAAGTCCTGAAGGTCGTGAAACCTCTGACTTGTCCATTCCCTGGAGGGCTCGAGTCACCCAGAACAAGATTGCTGGACATCCATCTGCAGATGCAACAAAGGCAGGGAAATGCTGCTGCTTTATCACCCTTACTGTTGCAATATATTCTTAATATTGGCTCTAACCTATTAACACTGTGGCATTCTCCAGTAACTCTCCAGGCATCTTTTTATCTGCTTCTCTTTCAGAGCTTCTATATAGGTCCTCGACTTAACAACCACAATTGAGTCCAAAATTTCTGTTACTAAGCGAGATAGTTGTTAAGTGAGTTTTGCCCCATTTTACGACCTTTCTTGCCACAGTTGTTAAGTGAATCCAGTGCTTTTTTTGTAAAAAAAAAAAAAAAAGATGCCGGAACTCACACATGTCATACAACCCGCCTTGTCTACCCTACAAGGTTCCATCCCAAAAAAGGTGCCGGAACTCCGTTCTGGGCGTTCTATGACAAAAAAAGCCCTGAGTGAATCACATGGCAGTTGTTAAGTTAGTAACACGGTTGTTAAGTGAATCTGGCTTCTCCATTGACTGCTTGTCAGAAGGTCACAAAAGGTGATCACATCACCCTGGGACACTGCGGCCATTCATAAATATGAGCCAGTTGCCAAGCATCCAAGTTCTGATCAAGTGACCACGACAATGCTGCAATGGTTGTAAGTGTGAAAAATGGTCATAAGTCACTTTTTTCAATGTTGTTGTAACCTTGAACGTCACTAAATGAATGTAAGTCGTAGAGTACCAGCACACCAAGGAATGTTCTGGGATCCACAGGAGTAAAG